TGAGGTGGTTTAGATAAGGAAGTTTTCATTTCTAAAAAGAATTTTGTTATAGTTTGAGATCAAAGAATAACACTGAGAAAGGAGTATGGTACACTTGGTTTGAACTGTGTGCTACACTATCAGGCCCCTTTCACATTATACTACTAATTTGTTTATAATAGGTATCACACCGAGAGGATATAAAAATAATTTCTGCCTCTTCATTTTTGTTTCTTGTTTGAACAGAGAAAATGACTAAAATATTGGGAATACTTCTAAGGAAAAGTCAACACATATTCCAGTCAACACTTAGATGTGAAAATATCAATGAATATTAGAATTTATAAGTCAGAATGGCTCTGCTCGCTGATTGCAATTTTTAGTTACATTCACTATTTTGTGCTAAATTTAAGTCATTGGTATACAACTGACCAGACCCCTTGGTTTGAAACATTACTAAGAACTTTATATATACTGTTAATGGGTGTTTTATATAGTGTTGAATGAAACTTTTATTTTTAGATTTTTAAAAAATATTTTGCACTTTGGGCTTAATTTTACACTAAATTGTATCGGCCAGCCTACGGTTATTATGCTAAATGTAAATCTAGTTCTTGGTTAAGCTTTTATTGAAAGATAGGTGGTGCTGTAAGTTAATATATTGTAGTGAAAGTGTGGGAGAAAAGTTAAATTGGCACTTAAATCTTAGTTTTCAAGGAAAACGTGTCCTTCACATACTGCATTATGATGGACTTTGTCTCAGGTGAAGTGGAGAAGTGAAAGAATCAAGTGTATGGCCGGTAAGAACTAACCATTAATTTAAATGGGATGCTATTAGTGGGAAACTTTTACTGATTTTTGAAGAAGGAAGTGACAGTGCAGATTTACTTTTATCAGTCTGGCCATAATGTGCAAGTCAGTAGGTCAAAACAGGGAGAGGATAGCAGTCATCAGAAAAGAACTGGAAGATTTTGCCATAATGAAAGCGTAAGTTGATTAGGATCTGTACTAGGTCAGTGTCTTTAAAGGAGAAAATGGGTAAAAATTGACATGTTACCATGCTATGGTGTCTTATGAATATACAGAGTAGATGTATTCAGTCAGATAATGCACTTAAACTATAGATAAGTGATGGAATTTCCCATCCAAAACACAGTCCTCCATGGCTCACGTTCACTAGTATGAAAAGGAGTAAGATTCCAGTAAGTTATGTACAGCAAATAGTATATTTCAGTAGACATTTAAACTTTTTGTGAATAGAAAAGGCAATAGTCTTTCTTAAAATCATTTTACTTAGTTTTATATTACAAAAATGTGTGTGTGTATGTGTGTGTGTTTCCATTGGTTTCAGGAGATGGGGGCAGACAGGGTTGGAGGGAGGATATAGTTTGTCTAGACTTGTAATATTGAAGCACCATTTAATTAAACTATAAGGTATGCAGATGTATTTTGAAAAATTATTACCCTCTCTTAATGGCAGTCTTTTGTTTCTTTGATCATATGAATTTTATTTTCACATTCTATCCTTATCTTTGCTTTTTTTGCAAGAAGTCCAAGCAGCTTTCTTCCTGGGAAAATGAATGTTTTGTAAATCTCTCAGTTTAACCTCTGTTGTATGATATATACCATTAAGGAAAATGAGTTTTCATTAGAAGTTGAGAAACTTTTAGCAAAATCATTAATTAGTCATGATTTGTTTTTTTTTCCCATACCTAAAATGTATATTTTAAAATTTCTTAGTTTATGAAATTCTGTCACTCCTATTACTAAAAGATGAGCCTTTTTTAAAGATGAGACTCTTGTGATCAAGTGGAATAACATTGATTATAGCACTTTATAAAGCATAAAGTATTATGGAAATGTAAAATGTTAAATTTAAATTTTTAATCTCATAAATTGCACTTAGTAGCTCATCAGTCTGATGGGGAATGGTATTTATCGGAAACTTATAAGATGGTACTTAATACCATAACTTAATAAGTTATTCTTCCCAGTAGAACTACTAGTTGTTGTACATAACTTTGTCTCCCAAGTTTGCATACTCTTAAAATCAAGACTATTTTAAGTCTAATTTCAGCTTTGTAAGTTACTGTGCTCTTGGCAAAACCTTATTTCTGTGCCTCAGTATTCTTACCTATAAAATGAGGAAGCAAAGGGGAAAATTAATCACTGTACTGGTTGCTTATCTTTTTTAATTTCCTCAGTTATATGTGGGAAGTGTATGCTACTTACCAATCATCATGGATGATGTAACGTTTACCTCCCACATAGAATCTCAGAGATTACACATAGAAATTCAGAGATTATGTAAATTGACCAAAGCTCAAAAGTGCCACAACTGGGATTTGAACTCAGATCTGTGCAGCACCAAAGCTCAAGCTCACTACATTGCAATATATAGCCTTCTGAGTTGTGTTGCTACAGCTGGAAGTTCTGTATGCAAAGAGTGTTTTCCACCTATAATAACTGAAGGTCCTGAGGTCCTGTTCTTCTGTATTAAAGCTAGTGTGTTTATGACCTAACCACTTTTAAAATCAATTCATATTTTCTCTGTAGTGGCTCTCTTTGTGCCTTTCTAGTAAGTGTGCAGAAAGTACTGAGGGATTTTTTTGTTGTCGTTTTCATTATGGACAGCTCTTAACCTGAAATAACTAATGTTAAGTGTCATCACTTGTACCTCTAAGTAGAAAAATAGAATCTTATGGGGCTTAGCGCCTCTAGGTATTAAAAAAATGACCTAGAAGCTGCTACTTTTAATAAATAGGTTGATTCTTGTCCAAGTTAAGACCAGAAGTGGTTACCATAGTTTTCATTTCCGAGGCCTCAGGCTTCTATATTGATTACTGTATCAGTCATGGTCTAATCAATTAGGGTTCAGTAGTTTATGGTGGAGTTCATTGAGTCACCAGGTTGGATCTGTTCATAGTTGTCAAGTGAACGGGAAGCAACCATCCAGGGCACGTGTAAGCCTCAGCTGGCACACTGAGAGGGTCAGGGTACCACTGCAGGTGGGAGGCCTGGGGTATGTGGTGTCTGTTGAGAAGACCATGCAAAGGTGTGGAGAAGGCCAAGCTGGGGCTGCTATTCTGGGCAAACGGCAGGGTCAAAGCACCACTGGATGTCCACCATTTTAAGCTGAGAGTCACAAGTCTCCTTTTTAAAAACATTTATTTCTTAGAAAGTTTTGGCGTTCAGCACATTAAAAAGATGTTTATGAGTTGGGTAATAGCTCTCTTTTGATGTAGTGAACACAGCCTGTCGAACTTCTCGGGAGCATCTTCTACAGGGATTGCACGTGCCATAGAAATGTCTGTGGCTAAAACCACAGTAATTTGACATTTGGTTTCCTTTAGATTTTACTATTAATGTATAGTGTATTCCTTCAGCCTTCTGATTCATGAAGGGGTGGTAGCTGGTGTGAATTAATAATCAAGAGTCAGACGGGAAAATAATACCTCAATGTTCTTATTTAGAGGGCATGTTATTGGGTGATGACCAAAGAGTTCTTTAGTTTTGCTCTGGGATGACAAGTTACAGAGGAGGAAAAGTAATAAATTTTTAAAAAGAAAATGTAATGTCTTTGTGGTTGAAAGTACATGTTCTTTCTATGCAGTTAGTAGAGCTTGGCAGGTAGAAATACCTCCTTGGTTTTCCCCGGATTATTTTGCAAGTTTAAAGTATGTCACTTGTTCCTTCATCCTTACTATCACCAACACAATTGTTTTGTACAGTATTAACACAAGGCTCACACCTTGTAAGGATGCCAGGCTAATTGGATTTCTCACTCTTCCCTGCTCCAACCCTTTCAGTGAGTCAGTCTGACCCCCACCAAATGCATTCCTTTTTTAAGGTACTGGGGGAATCTTGCTGGAGTGTTCTGTGCCTAGCTGTCAAAAACATACTGATTAAGTAAAAGCACTATTTGTCAAGACTAGCCCATAACATTATACTTTTTTGTAAAATGTTCTGAGGCCAGTTTCCCTTTTATGGTGGGTGGGTATGTGAACATTTTATGCTGGTAGCATTGACTTATTTCTTATTTGGAGGCCAGATAAGTCATCTTGTATATTTATTTTTTATGATACCGTAAATAAGACATTCAAAAGCAACTAACCTGAAGACTCCTTTTTAAAATATCCCCCAGTTGTGTTTTTTCATAAATGAAAAACTGCACTCCCTTTAATTTGGGAATGACTTTATACCCAAGGTTTCTACCTTACGATACTCAGATAAAAGATATTTGGTGGACTTTTGCTTTTTTTAAGAGAAAAATTATTAAGGAGAATGTGTAGGGGGGAATAAGACGAACAAATGGAAGATACTCATGGTATGTTTCATGAAAACTATAGAACATACAATTTTGTGGAAGTATGTAAAAAAATTGAATAGGTACATGCACAGGAGCTCAAGAATAATATGGTCATTCAGTCGTCTGATTTAATGAGAGACAGAGCTGGCCATTCAAAAAGAAAAATTTAAAGTTTCACTGCGTTTTTCTTTTTTTTTTTTCCTGCACTAAAGGACACTCCTTAGTGGTTAGTGTTGTTATTAGCATTGGCCTAAAGATCAAACAACACCATTGAGTAACAGGATTTTTAAAGATTCCATATATTTGTCTAGTATTTGCATTTTATTTCACCTTTACAAAGACGTTTTCTTTTTTGTTGTTGTTCTTGTTGTTTTATTATACTTCAAGTTCTGGGATACACGTGCAGAACATGCAGGTTTGTTACATACGTATACATGTGCCATGTTGGTTTGCTGCACCCATCAACCTGTCATCTACATTAGGTATTTCTCCTAATGCTCTCTCTTCCCTAGCCCCCCACCCCCAACAAACCCCAGAGTGTGATGTTCCCCTCCGTGTGTCCATGTGTTGTCATTGTTCAACTCCCACTTATGAGTGAGAACATGAGGTGTTTGGTTTTCTGTTCCTGTGTTAGTTTGCTGAGAATGCTGGTTTCCAGGTTTATCCATGTTCCTGCAAAGGACATGAACTCATCATTTTTTATGACTGCAAAGTATTCCATGGTGTATATGTGACACATTTTCTTTATCCAGTCTATCATTGATGGGCATTTGGGTTGGTTCCAAGTCTACAAAGATGTTTTCAAATACAAGTATTGATGATTTTAAATAATTGTACACAAAGCTGTGATGTTCATGTGTACTCCATTTGGTAGAAGGCAGAAATGCTCACTGATCTTTTGTTATGTACCCCCAGACAGGTATGAGATCCCACCAGGAAGCAAGAGAAACTGCTTTTGTTCCCTGCTTCTACCCCCCACTGTCCCCAAGGAGCCATCTGATGTGGACTCATTAAAAGGGAGAATATTTATTAGGCTACAGTGCCAAGGCTGCCATCTGTTAGGATTGCTCTCAGCTTTTCCACATGGTAGGTGTGGTCATATCAGCCTCAAGCCATTCCTACTTGAGAGGCGGCCTTCTTAGGAAGGGCTGAATTAGGCAGATTAAATTATCTGCCTTAGATCTTATTTATTTCTTTTCCTTTTGATTTAATTGTACAAACGTTTCTATTCTTTGTTTTCTTCTTGACAGGAGAATGGTAAACTAAAGAGCTGAGATAAGGGTGTGAACCTATGGGATAGAAGCCCAGGAGGCTGTTTAACCTGTTTCTGTTCTTGGCTTAGGCAGTGGTGTGCCGGTAAATATTTAACAACCAGCTCTTTGGAGAAGAAATGCATGTGGATATATAACCAATTATAAGTCTGTTATAAATTTTACTGATTTACAAGTAGTAAAATATACAACTTAAAAGAATTATAGAGCATACAATACTCCTTATTGTATGTTATCACAGAATGCTTAACCTGATCTTATAGAACGCTTTTATTTGCAGCCAAACTGTGGTTGCAGTTGATGAATAAGTAGGTTACTGACCTGAATGTTGGTTGATATTTTCCTTTACACAAAAGAATAAGATAAAAGTTAAAACAACAGTGACATAGAAGTTCACTTGTTTGTCAATGAAGAGAGTACTTTCTCTACTGAATAAGAAAATTTTCAAATACTAGAAGAATATTTTCTCAAATTCACAGTGTACCAACTATAAACATGACATTTTAAATTTAATCTGCATTATTTACATTTTCTCTATTATTTTCTTAAGTCTAGAGACAATCCACAATAAATCAATCCCTGATTTGTAGTATTTGTTGATTTCTGTGGTATAAATGCTCTGATTTAAAGCTTCCAATGTAATGTTACTGAGTGTAGAATTAGGAAGAGATGCATAGCTTTACATTATTTTACTATTTCCACCATTAAAGATACAATAGAGGTAAAAACCTCAAGAACATAGATAATAGTAAATGACTAGGAAGTGGTGAACTTTGGCTATTATCTTTGCTTTCGGTGTAATTTATTGAATCCTAAGCTTATATAATTTAACTTTTAGTAATAACTGTGTTTAATAATCAGCTTGCAAAATTCTTAAAAAGTTTAACAATCAGCTCTCAGGAGCTGGTACAAGCCAGCTTCAGCACACCACTGGCCTTAGGCATTCCACTGGCAGTAGTGCTGGGGGTTGGGGAGACATATGCCAATATGCCATGCTTTTTAAAATATGAAACCCAGGACCCCACTTCTGGAGATGAGTCTAAGATGAGACATCAGGGTTTGAGGTCGGAGCCCCATTAACAACCTCGCTTTGCCAGGTCTTGTTCTCTGCTCATCTCCTTCAGAACCTCATGGGATAGAGGGTGGAATGGGGGTTTGAGGTGGGAAAGAGTTCATGTGCTCTAGATCCTGGGGCTCAGCCACTTTTTTCACTACTGCTAACTTGGGGTACTGGCCCAGCCCCCTTGACATCCTGCGGATATCTTGCTATCCTACGGAAGTGGAAATCAACCCAATTTCTCAGTTCCTAACCAGAAATTAGACTCCTAGAGACCACTGAGAAAGCAGAACTGAATGTGAAAGGCTGTGGGGTAGTTAGTTGGAACCATGAGATATTTTGCTGGGGCTGGCTGCTGACTCATGGGGGAACTTTTCTGTCCCTGTAGCCCACATGCTCAAATGTTGTTTAGTAAAGATTAAGGGCAAAGCGTGATGGCCTCTTGTGTTGGTGTAAAGCTTACTCAACAAATGAAAAAGAATGGTGACCTCCATCATTTTTTGAAATTAGTCCATGAAAACCTCAACTTAGAATACATGAAATAAGGAATGATGTTAATTTTTAAAAGGGCTTTTGCTTTACAAAAAGATTCTCAGTTACTTAGAAAATACCCCTCAGGTAATTTTAAATGGTGCTTGCAAAATCCTCATTTACATATATATTTGCAGAAATACACCCATTACATTAAACCTATATTCATTGAACAGTACGCAGAGTCCATTGCATTATAACTGTAAAATAGGAAATGTGATCCTAATTGAGGGGACCTGAGGAGGTTGCATACTAGCGTAAGGTTATGTTCAGGACAGTAAACACAACTTTTTTCTTCTCTTTTGCTAGGCTGAGAGTCAACTGTGGGCATCGTGACTGAGCAAGTAATTTTGAAACTATTTGGTAGTCTCTGTAACACCTCCTAGCCAATGAAGACACTAATGAAAATTGAGGCATCTTAGCTTGAGTGAAAGTGTTAAAGCTTTTCTTTCAGGTGCCGGAAAAAACCATCATAAAACATACATGTGAGGGAAAAGACAGTGGGTTGTCATGGAGCAGGAAAGCCATGAAATCAGATGAAGCAAAAGTACCATGCACTCAGAAAATTATGTTATTATTAGCCCAGAATTCCTTGTGGAAAAATTAAATGGCTAATGTCCACAGAAAAAAATAAAAATAATTGTTCAGGGATTATTAGGAATCCAGTTGTTTTCCCGAGCAGTTTCCAAATCCTGCAGATACAAACAATAATAGGAGAAGATTAGGGCATTACTTGAGCTGGTTTTTCTTTCTTTCTTTCTTTCTTTTTTTTTTTTTTTTTTTAAGAGTAAAGACATTTCCACTTGAAAGCTTCCGTAAGCTCTGTAAATGCATGATTTCAAAGACAGAATGTCTAACTTGATTTCACAGACTCTTCTTGGCCATGGCAAACAGGTTAGAAACAGGCATGTGATTTGTTTTATTAATTTGCCGCTGCCTCATATCTGTGCTTAGACAATTTACACCTTTGTACTTTAGTGTCTCCAACTTGGAAATGTATAATACTCTGTGCAGTAACGTATTCGTGTAATACAGGGAACCAGTAAATCTTTTGACCTCTTGTACCATGTCTCCCACTTCTTCCCCTACTCCCTGTATTTGATATGTCATATGTGGGGTCTGCTGACTTGTGTCTCTGCCTCTGCTCTTACTATTGTCCCATCTCCAGCTGCCATTTACACTTCCCTGTACCATCTGGATCCCTCATTTTATGACCCTGTGCAAAGAGATCCTGTTCCAGGAAGGCTTCCAGGATGATTAGTACCCTTTCACCTTCTGCAGACCAGAATATGGAACAAGCACAGCAATCTTGGAGAGCTTGGAGAAGGTCATGGCTGTAAGTGTCCTGGAGAGGTAAACTGGCTTCAGGAATTGGTGCTAAGCCTGAACTAGTTTTCCGGTGCTCTGTGTGCTATCGCTAGGGCCAAGAAGCAATATTAGATGAAGCAAACGGGGACACAGAATCTTACTTTTAGGAAAGTAGCATGAATTTTGTCCTTTCATACATGATACAATGCTATATTACAATTCCTTGCTGTAGCTCGGAATTGGTGGCTCCTCTACTTTAAGATAAAGCTCAAATTTCTTAGCCCAAGGGACAAAACCGTTCATGATCTGGCCATGACTCTTTATGTCCTTTGCTGTATCCACATCAACCCATCCATTGTTTGGACTCCCCCAGCATGACTGCTACTTGTCTTAAGGTTCAGGTCAAGCATAACCTCTTTGTGGCTCTTGGATGGGTTTTGTTTGTATGTTTGTTTGTGAATGACAGAGTCTCCCTCTGTCGCCCAGACTGGAGTGCAGTGGCATGATCTTGGCTCACTGCAACCTCCGCCTCCCAGGGGGTTCAATCGATTCTCCTGCCTCAGCCTTCTGAGTAGCTGGGACTACAGGCGTACGCCACCACAGCCAGCTAATTTTCTGGTATTTTTAGTAGAGATGGGATTTCAACATGTTAGCCAGGCTGGTCTCGAACTCCTGACCTCAGGCAATCTGCCCACCTTAGCCTCCCAAAGTGCTGGGATTACAGGCATGAGCCACCGTGCCCAGACTTGGATGAGTTTTTCTGGATTCTTCCAGGTTGGGTCAAGCAATCCTCTGCATACCTGTAAATGCCTTGCTCACCTTTCCTTGGAGTACTTCCTGCTTTGCTTAATCATGACCTTAATGATCACATTCACCATACTGTGAGCTTCCTGAGAACAGATCATGCTTCTTCTCAGTATCTCCAGCACCCAGTACAGTGCCCAGCCCATGGTAATTCCTGAACTAGTGCTTGAATGGTATCGGTGGCATTTTTTGGAAATTAAAGTTAATGAGTAAGAAGGACAGGGTAAGAGATTGTCTTGGAGCTCTACTACTAAAAGAAATCAGAATGTTAACACTGTTCAGCAACCCATGGAAGAGAAGAGAGGAAGGCAATAAAATCTGCCCCCTGCCTGGGATTGCTGAATGCTGGCAATCTGACCACTTATAACTTGGGTATTCCTAGGAATATAAAGCATTGGGAAAAAGAAAATTAAAGGGCAAATGGACACCCAGGAAGAGCGTGAACAAAAAATTATCATTAAACAAACACTAAGGGAGAGTTGTCTTCAGTAAGAAATAATGCTCTAAGAATGTGTTAGGGTTCAGAACAAATAAATCTAGATGAAGAAGAGATTGTATTAAAAGTAACCTGTTCTGTGAAGCTGAAAAGTTAGGAAGGATGATTCATAGCCCTCCTGGGTTACAAAGTACAGTAGATAAATCAATGGCATAGCAGCAAAGAATCTATAGCTTATTATGTGCTTTTGGCTCAAGGGAAAGAAAGGTATTTCATTCAATACTGTAGCATGTGTGCCACAAAGCTGTTTGGTTGACAGAATCAAAGAAAGTATCAACATATAGAATTCCTTCCAAGTTGCAATGGTACATATCAGTGACCACTAGCAACCTGAAGCTGTGTCCACCAGCACTGTTATGTTGGTTTCCCCCAAAAGGTGGTGGTAACTTGTGGATATGCTGGTTTGCATAAGGACAGCTGCAACCAGAGTTATATGATATTGTTCCCAGCTCAGCCCCACCCTGTGCCAAGAGGATTACTGATGGAAAAAACCCAAAGGGTAAAGAACTAACTGACTCTTGGTGATGTTTCTATGATACTATGGTAAATAAGCATTGAAAAGAGGCACCATTCGGGACCCTGGGCCCTAGAGCAATGAGCTCAGAATCTAGATAGTATTACAAGTTCTCATCACTACCTCTCTGTAGTAGACTGACAAGCAACTTTCCTGGTTTTCTTGTTTGGTTTCAGAAAAAAAATAAGAATGTTGTCCTTTCCTCTGCAAATATCTCACTCAGCTAGGGTCAGACTCAGTGAAAGGCACTTGCTTCTGCAGAGGCGCATACTGGAGATCAGAGAAGGGCAGTCAGGACTTCCAAGTGGCTGTGTTTTGAAGACCCTTGAAGTCGGTTTATTTCTCCAAACTAGTCAAGAGTCACTCTCTGGGGTTGGGCATGATGGCTCACACTTGTAATCCCAGTACTTTGGGAGCCAAGGTGGGAGTTCGAGACCAGTCTGGGCAACATAGCGAGACTCTGTCTCTACCAAAAATAAATAAATAAATAAATAAACAAATAAATGTCACTCTGCCTGGCCTCTTGTATTACCTCCTCAAGTATCATTTGACGTACTTCCCACCCCAAACTGCCTCAATACACTGACAGGTCAGTAGGTGGCCAAGAGATCCCAAACTGATGGTTTTATCTTGGAGTGACTCTGGGCTTTACTGTCAGAATCCTCCTAATTTACACCATTGCCATAAAAGTGCTTGTGTTTTTCTGTGGTAATGTTGTGCACTAAATAATGCCAAGAGAATCCAACAGGTAACAGTGAGGACACTCTCTGGCTCCAGTCCTGGTTTTCTGTAAATACCGTTGATTGGCAGATTAACTGTGATTCTCACACTCCCTCTGTAACCTTCTAAGCATGCAAACGTCAAGGAAGCTTAGTCCTCAGATCTGCCCATTATCCTGCATATGGTGGTTAAAAATACAAACCCCATCCTTAAAACTACCGGATAATGGGTCAAGTTACTCAACCTCTATTTCTTCTTTTCTCATCTAAAATATAGGGGTAATAATTATAACACCTACCTCATATGGTTATTGAAGGATTAAATGAGTTAATACATATCAAGTGCTTAAGTGTTAGGTACTATTATTTTTTAAGCCCCTTTGGCATGCACAAATTCTCAGATTGTCAACTTTGCACTTGCAAAGCGTAGAACATATACCTGAAAGAGACATGACTGGCTAACCAGCTTCTCATTTCTAAAGAGGAGAAAACTAAAGTCCAGAGAAAAGACAGGTCTTTTCCCAAAGTTAAATGGCTACTAGGGATAGAGTGTGAGCTAGCGTGTGGGCTCCCTGCCATCTGAGGCAACTCTTCAGTATTCCGTGGTTATTGGGCAATGAGAAGATCAGATTTCCATAAATAACCATTTCTTTGATTAAATAATCTTACTCAGGCTTTTGGGATGGGCATATAGTGGAGGACTTTATAGCTTAAGAATATACTGCCAATTCTGAGTGTGTGAATTCAGAAAGAAATACAAGGATTTCAGAAGGCAAAATGATCAGTGGCCAGTAGCCAGGGCTCCCACCCTTTGAGGGCCATGGATTTTTGCTTTGGCAGTAGCAGATGGCTGAATAGTGACCGAGGGATGCTGCCTAAGAAGAGCAGGTAGTGGGTTCGCCAGCTGGAGCTGAAAAAATTAAAAGACCAGTGGTTCAGGTGGGCGCGGTGGCTCACACCTATCGTCCCAGCAGTTTTCCGAGGCTGAAGCAGGTGGATTGCTTGAGCCCAGGAGTTCAAGATCAGCTTGGGCAACATGGCAAAACCCTGTCTCTACAAAAAAAATAATAATAATAAGATACAAAAAATTAGCCGGGCATGGTGGTGAATGCCCGTAGTCCCCACTACTCGGGAGGCTGAGACGAGAGAATTGTTTGAATCTGAGAGGTCAAAGCTTCAGTGAGGCTAAATGGCACCACTGCATTCCATCCTGGGCGACAGAGCGAGAACTTGTCTCAAAAAAAAAAAAATTGTAAATTAAAAAAAAAATTTAGAATTAAAAAGCACCCTTTAGAATAAGCCAGCCTATAGGCCCAAGTTTTCAGTGGAGCCAGGGTCATGCTATATCAACCTTGCTGGTTAGGTAGTCTCCTAGAGCCTGGGACACGGAGGCACCTGCAGGAAGGAGAGTTCCTTTCTAAAGCTGCAGAGCACATTATTCCTTTATTTTTGTTGCATCGAGATAGTCTCTTCATTCCCCTGAAGGTTGACCATACCTCTTACTGTTTATCTCTGAGTTCTCAGGCAGTTCTCTGGCAGTTCTCAGGAACTGGCAGATTTTGTCAGTTAGTATTGTTTAGACCTCACCATGCCTCAGCAGGTTGAGAAGTAAGTGGTGTTTTCTTCTAGGATTAGACCTGCTGACATTTTGAAATAGCCTAGGGCTGCTGGGAAGAGGTACCCAGGAGTTCTCTCCCTTTGAGGTCAGGACTACTTCCAGTTGACCTGTCTCCCCCTTTCCTTCAAACTAGGATGTTGGCAACAGAAGATGAGGCCTGGTATGAAAATGAACAGCCTGTGAAAGCGTAACAGGATGTGAGTAAATTAAAGAATTGGGTTTTTTCCCTTTGGTTTTTTAGGTAGAGGGGAGCCCACCTACAATAAAATGTTAAATAAAAAGTACCCACATGAATGAAGGCAGGGGCAAGTCCAAAGCCAAGATACCATTTCACTCTAAGTAAATCCACTGAGGGAATCCCCTCCCTTAAAAAGAAAAAAGAAAAAAAAAATGAAAGAAAACTGGTTGGGCACGGTGGCTCATGCCTGTAATCCCAGCACTTTGGGAGGCCAAGGCAGGCAGATCACTTGAGGTCAGGGTTCAAGACCAGTCTGGCCAACATGGTGAAACCCCGTGTCTACTAAAAATACAAAAAATTAGCTGGGCGTGGTGGCGCATGCCTGTAATCCCAGCTAGGCTGAGGCAGGAGAATCGCTTGAACCTGGAAGGTGGAGGTTGCTGTGAGCTGAGATCACGCCACCATACCCCAGTCTGGGTGGCGGAGTGAGACTCTGTCTCAAAAAAATAAAAATTAAAAATTAAAAGTTTTTTAAAAAAGAAAACAACTTATTAGAAACTATGACCCTCATCGTCTTTTCTGTGCCTATTCTCCACTGACTTCTGAGGGGGATCTTAAGAGTTTCACCCAGGAGAATATGTCCTTGGGTTACATGGTTGCAGAAACAAATGAGTTGGTATTGATAGTCTTTATAGAAAGAGAAATCAAAGTGCTGCAGTTAACACTGGCCAGGGCACTTGAATGCAAAGCAAAAGTGACAAAAGGAACTGAGGTTGCAGTACAGGAAGTACACTACTGTGTCAGTAATTAAAGGTGGTGGCCTTGATTTCTCAGAGGGAGAGGAATCAGCTTTGAAGATGCCTGTCACAGACACTGGAAAATCCAACCATCTAGGGCATTGTATCTGCTGACTCTGTGCTGAGAGAGAGACCTGGAACCCCAATTCCAGGTCCCTGTGTGTTGAGAAAAGTCAACCAGCATTCTGACCCTGCCCTGATTACTTTGAATTTGGGGGCCTGGAAAACCCCATTGATTTCACTGTCTGATTTCTGAAGTCAGTTGAAAGAGAAACTTAACAGCAAGAACCTAAAAGAAAATATAAAAGTTAGCACCTTCTAAGAATAACTTCTTGGTCTCAAATTGGTGTCTATACCTAGTCAGCGCCATTAAGAGTCGTCCCCGTGGATGGGGGAAGGTAGGTAGCATTGTCTACCTGGGGCTTTATAACTTTTACTCTTTAAGTTTTGCCTGCTTGCCAGAGATGTTGCTTTGTTTATTGCTGTTGCTTTCAAACAGAGTTGCCTTTTCTTTTCCTCTTGCCATGGAAACTGAAATAAATAAAGAGAAGCATGGTTTTTTAGTGTTCTCCAGCTTTAGATGCATTATAGTTTTCAAGATCAGTCAATAAGCATTTTTCTGCCCAGTTACCTGTGAGAAGACGTATCTATTGGGAATAAAAAAAAAAGATAAATATAAAAATATATATAAATATAAAAAAATATTTTAAAAAAGAGATAAATATAAAATTAAAAAAAGAGATAAGGTGGAGAAGGGAATGTTTGCTAATTAACTACCTATGAGAAGACATATCTATTGGGAGTAAAGAATGGGGGTGGGGGGAGAGTATTGGAAACGCTGGTCAATAAGGCTGGGCTTCATGTCAATGTAGCCTTAGGCCAGTTTCAAATGTTTGGTGGCGTTTTGTTCACAAAAGGATGAAGTGTGTGCATCGTATTTGTGTTTTTTGTGTTTTTACAAAGTTGAGTTAAATCCAGTGCTTTTGTTATTGGCTATTTTTCATGTAGCTTTCTTTAGGGTGGTTGTTTACAAAGACTTCGGCATGGTTTCACAGAGACTCATTCCAGTGGAATCCAGTTAGATGGTCCTAATGCTTTCGTTCCAGCTATGGACATATGTTTTGATTCACAGTATGCTTGGATGGACCGCGTGGATGCTTCATTCCTATGGAAGACATAATTCGTAACAGAAAACTTGTAACAGCAGCATCTTGCCTGCAAAATTATTTAAGAAAAAAAAAAAAAAAGACTTTCTGATTAATACCAAAGTCTTTAACTGTCCTTTAGATAGGTAGTGTTTCAAGTAATAAACCCATTGTGATTCTCAACATTGGGTCCATAGTAGCCTTACCTGGGTAGAACATTAACTCCTCCTATTTGCCCCCATTACTCCCAGAGATTGCGGTATTTTTTTAGTGGGGCTTTGGTGGTGGTGGTGTGTGTGTATGTATGTATGTATGTGTATATGTTATGTATACACATGCACATATGAGACTTGGGTGTATGTAGCTATGTATGTATACACACACACATATTTTTAAACATAAATTTTTATAATATTCATTTTAAACCAAAGTATACAAATGTATAATCTTAAGTACCACAGATGAGTTTGAAGCTCACTGTTGGAAACCATGGACTCAAACACAATTTTTTAAGAGCTCTTTGTTTTCATGACAAATAATAAACTTAAGGATAGGAAGAGAAGGAGATGCTCACAGATACGAAGATGTTAAAAAAAATGCCCGTGTTCATGAAGGGGCTTGCTTGTAACCAACTGCTCTCTTATTTCACAGGCTCTTTTGATTTTACATAAAGTTCAGTGCTATAAAACTCTGTAAAATTTCATTATGTTTTTAAAGTCAGAGGCAGGGAAAAAGTCCCCTCCAGGCATTTAGAAAAATAAAACAGACTGCCATTTCACTGGGCTAAGTTTGAAGCCCCGCAGATGAAAGTGACTTGTATTCATGAGTCCACAAATAAGGAGCTGTTAATGATCAGGATAGTGGTTGAGTGGATCCTGGTAAATACAGCTTCAACTGGAGATGGACTCAAGCAGTTCAGCATATACAGCAGACACACAAGCTGATGATAACCACTTACTATGTGCTAGGTACTATTCTGATGCTTTGCTTACATCACCTCCTGACATTTCAACAGCAAGGTAGGTATTATTATCCCTGCTTTATCAATGAGAATTTCAGTCACAGACCCTTGACCACATTTGCTCAGCTAGTAGGCAGGGATTGGAACTCGAATCCATGTGACTTCAAAGCCATGCAGCAACCACTACACCAGTCACATGCTCTGCCCTGTGGATTGGGCCATATTGAAACAATAAAGACCATCGAGCTGATGCATTTCTAACCACTTCAGAGAAATATGTAAAAGACTTACATGCAAAAATATGTTCAGAAGACAAGCTACAGCAAAAGGCCAAGGACCCTTGTAAATGTGGCAGTGATGACTAAAGAGCTTTGCTAAAAATATATTAAGCATGTACGGTAGAGAGTGAACTGCTCATAAAACTAGGTGGTTCGTTTACTTCTCTTTTTCTGTATGTTTGAGATATTTCATTGCTGATTATTTTTGGGCAACAGGACATGGAAAAAAAATTGATAAGCTCTTCTGCATTATGAGTTATTCAGGTAGTTTTGCATAAACCGGAGGGCAGATAATTGCTGATGTGACCTCAACAAAGAGATAAGGTGGAGAAAGGAATGTTTGCTAATTAACTACAAAGGAAAGAGAAAGGTGAGAAATAATTAAGTTACCTGGTTCTCTGTGTTCTGCCCTTACTTGCTCCTCCAAAACATTCTCCCCAGCATGTCTCTTCCAGCTTAATAACTGGAAGCAATTAGTCAACAACAATACACTCTAGTGGAAAAGAGATCCTGTTAGTTTTCTAGATGATGCCTGTTGTGGATGTATTGTTTTCAAAAATTATATTGGTGCTCATGAGCTGGAATCGTTGCACTTTACACTCAAAATTATGAGACCATTTGTCCCCAGTGGTAGCTCAGTTTTTGAGGTGAACCTCAAAAGCAATCCTTGGCTAATGGAAGATTCTTCCAGATTCTAGCAGTGTTTGTTCAAAGTGGGGCATATCTGGCCAGGTATAGTGGCTCATGCCTGTAATCTCAGCACCTGGGGAGGCTGAAGCAGGCAGATCACCTGAGGTTAGGAGTTCAAGACCAGCCTGGCCAACATGTTGAAACTCCGTCTCTAGTAAAGATACAAAAAAAATTAGCCAGGCCTGGTGGCACATGCTTGTAATTACAGCTACTTGGGAGGCTGAGGCATGAGAATCGCTTGAACCCAGAAGGTGGAGGTTGCAGTGGACCGAGATTGCACCACTGCACTCCAGGCTGGACGACAGAGCGAGACTCCATCTCAAAACAAACAAACAACAACAAAAAAACAAAAAGGGAAAAAAAAAAGATGACAACAAAGTAGGGCATATCTTACTATCTTATTTATACTCACTTCCAGAGTTCACTGTAACACAGAAGGTTGTCCTTTGATTTTGACTTTTGATTCATGGAAATGTATGCATGAAATTTAATTTCCTAATCTTATGTTTCAGAACAGCTGACTCATCTCATGCAATGTTTGCTGTGTGCGCATTATATTAGGAAGCAGTGGTTGTTTGTCTCATCGTGTATTGGACTGTGAGGCATTAATGTATATGTCTTGTTCGTGGGAGCCGTTGATTTTACGAAAGCTACTTATGTAAATAAGCAGTAACAGAAGGCGCTCAGCCAAGCTTTAATGAGACATCTCAGCTCTCCCTCTGCTAAGTCAAAAAATCTACTTTGAGACTTTAATCTCCAGTAAAAGTGACAATGGAAAGAGCAATTTAACAAACACTCCTTGCACGTGTTCGCAATGTTAATTTTTAAGACATCAAAGCCATATATACAATATAATTCTACTTCTGTTTTTTTTCAAGTGCATAAATGCAATTAATTAAATAAGACTGCAAGAATATACAAACCAGAATGCTCACAGTTGTTAACTTGCTCTTGATATATTTCAGATGATCTTAATTTAATTTAATTTTTTCACCTTTCTGTGTTTTCAGACTTCTTTGTATTAAGCCTATATAGCTTGTTTAACAGGAGAAAAATATAATAAATGTTTAAAGGACATGAAAAAAGAAAAAGAAATGAGTATACTCCTTCATGCTACAAACAGACGATTTCTAGTACTGGAAATGTCTCCAGCTTTATTCCTCATTTTGCAAATGTAAACCACAGTACTGCCTATGATCATAGCCGCTGAAGTGCTCAGGAAGAATCTTGTCAGTTCTCCAGCTTTTGCAGTGGAGTAAGTTGGATAGATTTCCTCCTCAAAGGACGTTTGGATGAGTGGGAGCTTCATTAGGAAAGAAGAGAAGGCTATAGGCAAGTCTAGAAAACCTACATCCCATCACTGTACTGTAAGACACATGAGGTCTGGACGA